TCCGTCTGATACTGTGCAATACTTCCGAGGTGGTATAGTTGCTCAGTGCGCCTTCAAGAGTATCGCCTCGACTTGATGGCGGAAGATCACGATTGCCGCTGATATTACACTCTGACGCGTGCGCAACTACACATTTTCTCATCACCAAAAGTGAGATAAAGAAACTTCCATACCTCAATTTGCGACGTTGCAACTTTTTCACTGCCTCTTTTGAATGAGTAAACGAATATGAACACTTGAAAATCTGCCGTGATTTTTCCGAGATAAGACAAAATACGTCATTTGAATGTGCGTGACGTAATTTATAAACGTTCCCTAGGGAAGCAAAGAAACCTGACTAATCATTAAAATTATGAGCGATGTGAACCGACTTAATAAACAGAGTGTCATGAATAGGGCATTTTCCAGTATACAACTGAGGATAAACCATTCTCAATTTTTAAAAAAAGGACACGAGCATTTGTTGGGGCAATTTCTACCAGGATTGTTCACACATTCACGCATCCTAACACTCATACTCGAATTTTTCTGGAAATATGCCGCATGTTTAAGGGGGACCCTAGGTCTGCCATTTTTTTTTTTTTTTTTTTAATTCTGAAAAGACCATAAATTTGACTTTTACTTCAATAAATACCCACTGTTGTAATAAGTACCAAGTTTCACAAAAGTTATCGCGAAAAGGAGGCGAGAGAGCATTTAGGTCACATCTACCATCTTGGATTTTCTAATTTTAAAAATTTGAGTTGAAATTCAAGTTTCCCATCAAAAAATGCCTCCTGGCCTGGCTTTAAGCTTCTCAAAAATCAATAGCACATGAGCCACATATTGGCGGATCTGTGAGGCTCTATACAGTGGTCAATGATACCAGCCAATTTGCACAGCCACGTTAGTACGCCTGCAATTCCGCCTGATACTGTGCAATACCTCAGTGGTGGAATAGTTGCTCAGAGCGCCTTCCGCAGTATCGTTTCGATTTGAGAGCAGAGGATCACAATTCCGCTGATGTCACACTCTAGCGCGTACGCAGACACACATTTCCTTATTACTGACGGTGAGGTAAACATCACTCACACCACATTTTGCTACGTTGTAAGTTTTTTACTGCCTATTTAATTTGAGTGAACGAAATTTGAACACTTTAAAATCTGCCCTGATTTTTCCAAGACGTATTATTTTTATGTTTCATTCAATATTATTGTATGCTTTCCTCCATAAAAGGAATAAAGAGACGTATGGGTAGGAACCCTCAAACGAAAAGCCACGGATCCAAAATTGTATCGCTCTTGAGGTGAACGGGTCTGAAGAGTTGCTAAAGCGCCGAAACATATTTTGTTCGCAATTTCATTTAAAATTTCTGAGAGATCTAGGGAAGAATGTGCGTAATTTTCCTAAAAAATGAACATTTTATCCGAGGAAAAGCAACTCTTGAATGTTCGTAAGGTGTTTTTTCGTATCATAGCAGTGTCATGCAGAAAGGAACCAAGCCACATCAGATGTTGCCAAATTTATCCGGACAGTTTAATTTTTTACATGGAAAGGGTTGTGCGGATTTTGGTGCAAATTTCAGTGAATTTTTCGCGTAACACAAAGCAAGTTCATGTAAATTTTCAAAGGAATCCGCATGAACGTTCTCTTGTAAAAAATTGAATCGCCCGGTTAAATTTGGCAATAACTGATCTGGCTTGGTTCCTTTAAAACGCGGTCAAACTTACCCGGTACCAAGTTTCACAAAAACTGATCGCATGTCCAGGAGCCGTGTACCATCGTTCGATCAAAGGGCACTCTACACATGAGTAAACAATACCGGGCACTTTGCAAACATCAGTGCGCCTTCATTTTCATCTGATACTTTGCAATACCTCTGTGGTGGAATAGTTGCTCGGAGCGCCTTCCACTGTATAGCTTCGACATGATGGCAGAAGATCACGATTGCCGCTTTCACTTCAGCGTGTGTGGTTACACATTTTTTTGTTACCGGCGCGGTGGTGAGGTAAAAAACATTCATACCTCACTTTGCGACGCGTTGCAAGTTTTTCACTTCCTTTTTCATGTGGGTAAACCAATAAGTATGGAAAAAAAACCTATTATTCGAATCAAAAAGGAAAGACAGCGCACATAGGATTAAAATGGTTGACTTGCTAGCCTGAAAAATTGTAATTTGAGAGTGCCTATTATTTCGTCCCTTAGTAAATTTTCTTTTATCCTAGCATTACGTCTTTCTTGAAGTTCTAGTATAGATGATATTTTATCCTCGAAATTAGCAAAATCGGAGTCCGAAAAACATTTGTTTGCAAATTTTAAGAGTTGATTGGATAGTTTTTAACATTATTTTTAATCTTTTTCGTGGATAGAACCGTACTAATAAACTACCTTGTTCAGTGTTGGTATCAATTACAATGAATATTTTTTTCAAATTTCTGGAGTAATAATTATTATTAAGTGGACCAAATGCAGTTAATAAAGTGTCAGAGTGTAGAAGGCTTCAGTGCATCCTATGGCAATAAAATGGAATAGATTTTGAATTTTTTTAAAATTTCTGTTTTATAATTAGCACGGAGAAAGATGTATGGCTTCATAAATCACTTATAGTGGTTCATATGGAACACCACTATAATAGTCGTAAATAATCTAATGATTTTTGGTCTGTGAACCACATACTAAGGTATCTCGTACCATGCCAAGGTATATATATATACCATAATTAAGGTATATGTGATATTATAATATGTTGCCTTTACTACTATTAGTATGGCGTTCCACATGAACCACTAATTTGTGTAGAAGCCATAGCCTCTTCTCAGCGAGTAAACAATCATACAGAATGTGCTAGTATAGGTACTTTCAAATTCCACGTGGAAATACTCTAATTTTATAATATGTTTCGCTGGTTCACAATCCCTCCAGAGCCTTTTCTATCATTATAAAGTGTCTCTTAAACCTCCTTCTCACACAGCGCCTAAATCAATTTCTCACCAGGTGGAACCGGTATTGTGAACAAGAATCACCACAGCCAAACTATCGCGGCAACATGGGTACATTTTATACACGCGACACTTTTAATCCTGCAATGATGCACCTGTTGTTTTGAGTTTGAGGTGCGACAGAAACGGTGCTGCGTCATGTTAACGACTAAAAAAATGGGGTTTGCAATCGCAAGAAAAGACGCGGCGATTTAATTATGTCACCAGCCAACACGCGACAATTTGGTGCATAAATAGGTTCCAAAGTCGGCTGTTAAGTTCAGGATGTTTCATAAACTGTGAAGTTACCATTATTTTGATTGTTGTGATAGTGCGAGTTATAGGTAGCAATTCTCGTGAGATTTTCGAGGCACTCGGCTTAGAGATTATGTCTTGGAAGTCAAATTATTTTCCACTGATTCTTTAGTGTTTGGGTAAGTTAGTTACTTATGATAGTGAGAATTTTGCCTTTTTTCAGAATTTTTACTTTTACGAATTAGATCTAGTAAAAGGAGTCTCTGTTTTAAAAACTGCCATAGGCGGATTCAGGGTGCGTATACCCCCCCCCCCCCNCCCCCCCCCCCCTTTGTTCGCTCGAAAAAAAGGAGAAAGAAAAAGAGTAGGAGGCAAAAGAGTAGGAAGAAAACGAGAAGGAAGAAAGAAAGAAGGAAGGAACATAGGAAATACGCGTACACCTGGTAATTATTAATCATGACGAAATTGACTCAAACTGCATATAAGGTGCTTCAAAAAGTTTCTGGAGAAGGCTTTCGGACCCCCCTTACGCCCTCCCCCCCCCCCAATCAAGGTGTCTGGATCCGCAACTTCCCGAAGCAAATTTTTAATAAATGGTCCACATAGTTATTCTTGTATTCCCAAAAGAAGTAAAACCCGTTTTTAAAAATCCACATACCTTTAAGAAAAAACTCCAAAAAAATTCTTCTTTTGTTAAAAATCTCTTCTAACGGACAATACAAAACGCAATGTCGGTCATTTTAAAATGATTTTCAGCTCAAATAATCAACTTTCAACTCGAGAAATTCCTGTTGCAGTTTTCGTGTGCGCAAAAGCTCAATTTTAGGAAAATTATTCGACCAGATTCACACAAGTTTGGAAAAATTGTAGTTTCTTTAAGATCTGCTGCCAAAAAAAAGTAGCGTGTAACATTTTTTGTGAATAGCGTAATATCCAAATCATTGACATGATGCTACACAGCCGGTGATTTTTTGCTCACTTCGAAAACTGGAGACGAAATCTGCCGTGCTAAGGAAGAATGCCGTATGAACATTCGAGAGTTGCCAAATTACCTTCAACAAAATTTGTTTTTTCTAGGAAAGTTATAAATATTTTTCCTTGAAATTTTCAGACGTTTTAGATCAAATTACAAACAAAATTATCTGCGAAATTGGTAGACAAAGATTCAAACATTCTTCTGAAAATTAGTGATTTACGAGTCATATAGGTCGCTTTATAGCACTCCCTCGTGCTCTACGACTCCTAACCTCCACTGCTCCACTCCTCTTTGTCGAACCTGAACTTTCCGGGACATTTTTGCTTCAATCCCCTCCCTCTCTTTCTCCCTCTCCCTCTCCCTCTCCCTCTCCCTCTCCCTCCCTCTCCGACCTCTCATTGGGCGCCCTCTGCGCCTTCTCCCCGGAGGAACTCAACCAAGGGCCTTCTTCGGCAACCTATCTCCTGCCATTCTTTGAACATGACCATACCAAATAAGTTGTTTCGTCTTAATGTCATGCACGATGGTCTGTTTGGCATCCATGATCTCCCGTGCCGTTTCATTCCTGACGCGATCCTTTCTGGAAATACCAGCGGATCTATTTCATTATTATGTGAAAATTAGTGATTTGCCAGGTGAAATTTGGCAACGCCTAAAGGCTCATACGGCATTTTTCCTTAGTACGCCTGAAATCTTACTGTACGTAATTTTCACATCAACTTCGCATCAATGCTGTTTCCTCTTTTCCAGTTATGGCACGCCACTGTGCACCGTTCCGCGTTCCGCGACTCTCGCAGCACCTCCTATCTCTTCGTCCTCGACAACTCTTTGCGACTTTCCTCTCCCCGGCTAGAAACATCATGTTCCTCCCGACCGAAAGCGTCTTAATAATCATCCTCTTTAGCATCTCCGTAAAACCGTCAGCGTCATCCCCCGGTGAGCGACTTTTCTTGACCCCGATGATCGAATCTGGGGAACATGATAAAGCGCAGCAAGCCGCGAGGGTCTCGATGTCTCAAGGCGTTGAGGGTTTCTCAGGGTTCATCACAGTCGACAAAACCAACGAGGCGAACCTGTTCTTCTGGATGTTCAAGCCTCTCGACAGGCAGGTGGACTGGGAGGAGGCCCCGGTCATCATCTGGTTGCAGGGCGGCCCCGGAGCCTCCTCGCTCTTCGGGCTGTTCACCGAGATCGGTCCCTTCTTCGTCAGCGAGGCGCTCGTGCCGACAAGGCGCAAATATGCGTGGTGCCAGAACTACAACCTCCTCTTCATCGACAACCCGGTCGGCGCCGGCTTCAGCTTCGCGACGAGGGAGGCCGGGTACACCAAAACCGGGGACGACGTAACGAGACACCTCTACTTGTTCCTGCTCCAGTTCTACCGGATGTTCCCGCAACTGGCCGGGAACCGGTTGTTCCTCATGGGACAGTCTTATGCCGGCAAGTTCATCCCAGAGCTCGCTAAATTTATCCACGAGCGCAACGTGGAATTTTTAAACCACAAGAGAGAGCTTTCAAAGCACGGCAAAGGATCTTCTAAACAAAGCTTTTTCAACAAAGGATCTCCTAAACACAGTAAAGAATCTGCAGATATCAAGGGCGATATCGTAATACGGTTGGAAGCAATCGCTATTGGGAACGGCTTAATTGACCCGTACCACATGATGCACTACTCAGACTACATGTACCAGCTAGGAATGATCGATGACAACGGTCGAACCGAGCTCCAAGGTCTTGAAAAGGAAACAAGGTTTGTCTTCTTCTATCTTACTTAAAATTAATTTCAATTCAATGTGTGCAGCTTAATAACTGCACCTCATGTTGTCTTTTTCTCCCATGCATGTTTGCCGGAAAAAAACACATTGGATCTAGAGTCCAGACTCTATAAACATCGACAAGCAAAAATACTCTTGATTCAATCTGATTTAAGCTTAAATCAAGAACCAAGCCTCTTAATTTGAGCGGATTTCCTTTTGATTCAAGCTTAAATCTGATTGAATCAAGAGTCCTTTTTCTTGTCGATGTTTTCAAGAGTCTGGATTCTAGATCCAATGTGTTTTTTTTCCCAGTGTATTATTGTTTTACCCGGAAACTAGACGATTTATCACCTCAAAACTAGCCCCTAAATTTCTTGACGACCCTAACAAAATGCAATCACAAAATGGGCCTGGGCCTGCGTTGCAAACACTTCCTAGAGCAAAAATACGAGTGTCATCCAAAAAGTACGGTTCCCTACCTTTTATCTTCCGAACGAAAAGAGATAAATCAAATCGGTAAAAATGTACATATTAGACATACTCTGAGCTTTGAAACAAGCCCAAGTTCTTGAAAATTGATCGAGGAGTTCGCGAGAAAGCTTATTTTTATTGATACAACCTCCTGTCGCTGCGTGCCCACCTCCCGGGTCAGGATGCGCGGAGAGTCGAATATTTCAGACTCGAGCACTCGCCTCTAAACATCACATCAAAAAGGAATTTAAAAGTTTTCACTGAGTAGATCTTTACTTACTTTTTGACGTAGTACGTACATCTTTTTTGACAATTCTGGTATCATTACAACAGCTTCTTGATGTCGTCTGCATAAAAGCCTCGCCTTGGCTCCAAAACCAGTCATTGACAGAGCTCTGTAGTCTGCACTTCCAAATCAATTGTTTTGCGACGGGAAATTTTCCCTCAATCCCCTATGGGTACTCTCTTAATTTAGCCTTATGTTACTTTCATCTGTTCCCGAGCGGAAAAACTTCCACAATGAAAAGCGATTGCCAACCGATGCAGAGGTACAGATCGCTATACCAATGACTAGTTTCGGGGCCAAGGCGAGAGCTTTTACGCGGACGACATCAAGAAGCTGATGTAATGATAACAGAAATGTCGAAAAAGATGTGAGGACTACGTTAAATTGTAAGTTAAGAACGTATTTCACACCGAAAAAAAATTAAGATGTTGAATTGACATACTAGTCGTTTAGGTAATGTGTTATGACCTCAAAGTGTTAACTGCCATTGGGCACTGTTAATTGCATGTCTTCAGGATGTCAAGGTAACAGTAAGGGCAGTCGAGACAGGCCGTTGCACATTTTACAGGGTGTCCCAGGATTGAGTTCAAATATTGAAGAAGTCGATTCATAGGGTCAGAAAAAGACGTTTTTGTAGTATACATTTTTTCCAAAAACTCTTTCCCCGGGGGCAACAACCCCCCAAAGTTGGAGGGAAAAATCGTCTTTATTAACACTATGAAAATGTTTATCAACCAATATTAATGAAAATTGGTAATTGTGGGTATTTCTATCGTTCTGTTCATATTTGACCTCCAAAAAAAGGAAAACTTATTTTGAGGGGGAGCTAGGGGGTATCAAACCTAAAAATGGCCAAAATTAATGTTTCTAGAGACAAAACTTGACTTTTGACGACACCATTAGATTTAGGGTTGAAAATTATTTAGAGACTGTGTCTTGTGTTTTTTCGCTATGACTCTTCGTTTTCGAGATAATAGAGACTTAATGGAGCGCGGGTGGGAGCGAAGGAGGTAGGGGTGGCCCCCAGGGAGAGTGTATTTGGGGAAAAATGTATACTACAAAAACGTTTTTTTTTTTACCAAAAGAATCTACTCCTTCAATATCCGTACTTAATCCTGGGACACCCTGTCTAACAACCAAGATGTCAATCCAACATCCCAATATTTGTCGGAGCTTTTTTTTCCATGTAACAAAAGGTTATTGATTTTATGCTTGCACCCACGGTTTTTTTTATTCATCTCAATTTTTCTTTTCTCTTCCTCCCCGCTGGCCCGTTGAAGAAAGAACATCAATAACAAAATGTATACCAAGGCCGTGGATCACTGGTACCTTATTATGAAAACAATTAAGGACTGGGCAAAACTGAAAGAGACATACAACTTTGTTCACGACGCCGACGACTCCACGGCGTGGCAACAATTCCTGGAAAAAGCCACGACGAGGAAACTGATCCACGTAGGCAACCAAACGTTTCACTACATCAACAAAGAGGTTCCCAAGCGCATGAAGGACGATATCATGAGGTCTGCAAAGCCGGCGATCGAATTTCTTCTCAAGAATGAAGTCTGCGACGTCGTGATCTACTCCGGGCAACTGGACGTCCTCTGCGCCTACCCGCTGACTGTGAAAGTCTTCCAGAAACTCGAGTGGCAACACGCCGATGACTACAAGAAGGCTGAGAGGTGCTACCTGGAGGTGGACGGGGAAGTCGTCGCCTACCGTAAGTCGGCCGGTCGTTTCATCGAGATTCTGTTCCGTGGCTGCGGACACATGGTGCCCGCAGACTGCCCGAAAGTGGCGTCCAGGTTCTTGGACGTGTTTGTCAATCAGAGAAGGAATCTCAAGTGTTCGAATGGAGCAGAGGAGTCTGATTCTGATGATGATGACTGAGCAAACTTTGGGCAGTATGATAAAAACTAGAGTACCGATATAGCGAGAGTGTAGACAAAATGGACCGCGTAAAACAGAAAGGAACCAAGCCACATCAGCTATTGCCAAATTTAATTGGGCAATTTAACGTGTTACATGAAAACGGTTGTGCGGATTTTCGTGCAAATTTCATTGTAAATACTCCATGGTACGAAGCAAATTTCTGAAAGTTTTCAAAGAAATCCGAACAAACGTTCTCTCGTAAAAAATTAAATTGCCCAGTTAAACTTGGCAGTAGCTGATGTGGCTTGGTTCCTTTCTGTTTAACTCGGTCCGAGTGTGAAACTCCGAAAATCCATCAGGCCTTCACCGATGCCTCCGAGAATGAAGTTAGGGCCCAGACAATGCAGCCAACTCATGAATTTCAATCATTCAGAACGATTTACGAATACAATAATTGTTAGGGACCGTCGTTTATAAAGCACGTACTTGACATAGTTTTTGCATAAATTTACTCATTGGTGCATTTATGTGCATTCTTGGCCATCTTGGTTAGAATTGGAATCTGCAGACTGTGCAGGCTGGCAGTGAAATTTTATATGTTGGAAGTTGGTTAGAAGAATGGTTGCACTTTTGGGCCCTAAGCCTTCCATGAAGCGATCTGCCGAAACTCTCGCTACAATACAGGTACTCTAATAAAAGCTAAGGTTAATCGCGGACCGCGTTCAGCATAGAGTCTCTTTACAGAGAGAGTTGAGACAACCCCGCCCAACACAAAATATTGCTGCAATATTTTCGCAATGTTCCAAGACAATATTGTCGCAATATTGTTGAAAAANCGCACACGGATATGGAATATGTACCCTGATCGCAATATTTGTGCAATATTTTCGAAATATTTTGGCAACATTGTCGACAATGTTGCCAAAATGTTGCTGACAATGTTGTCAACAATATTTTTAGGTAGGACCCTCGCATATTGCTGCAATATTGTGACAATATTGTGACAATATTGCAGCAATGTTTTCGGAAATATAATAACAATGTTGCTGCAATATTTTGGAAACATTTTCGTGTTGGGCGGGACGCTGCTTATGGATGTCACAAACGGGAATGAAGATCACATAAATCGAACGTTTTTGTAATCTTTGATCGTCCCATTCCCGCATTATAGCCTATCTCCGTTCCCTCTCTCATTTCGTTTGTTACTTTGCCGTACCCCCAATTCCCCAGTCCGTTCCAGTTTATAATCTCTGCCATTGGTGAAAATGTAATCTTTATTCCCGTTGTGACAATGTTAAGGCCTAAAATGCGGTAACCAATCAGAAGTAGATTCGCACTATCTTTACTCTCAGCATAAAGGGACTCTTGTTTAGCAGAAAGGAACCGAGCCGTATCAGCAGTTGCCAAATTTAACTGGGCACTTTAATTTTTTACAAGATTAAATTTATGAGGATTCCTTTGAAAATTTTGAGGAATCTGCTCCGTACTTTGCAGAAATTTCACTGAAATTTCCACAAAAATCCGCATAACTGTTTTCATGTAAAAAAAGTTAAATTACCCAATTAAATTTGGCAATGGATGATGTGCTTGGCCTATCTTTCTGTTTAACCAGGTCCGGTTTGTGTCTACCCAATTCCGCATATGGCCTTGTCTCCACAAGGCGTTTTCGAGGGTTTTTTTGCCGAAAAAAATTCATGGTTTTGGAAACTTTACCGACTTGCGTCAGCTAAAGTCGAAAATCTCTGCCTTATCTGTCCTAAGTTTCGGGGTGTGGATATTGCAGAATTTGTTTTTATTTAATTTATTTATATAAGTTGATGGATCTATTTTATGCCAATAATTTGTAATGAAACCAGTATTTTAGCAAAATGTATTCGATATATCGATGTCTGCATGCGTACGCTCTCGATATAAATTTACCCATTCCAATCTATTCCAGATATTTATAACCTCATTTCTTTATGGTTGTATATGTGTGCAATTTTTTTTTAAATTTAAGAGACTAAGAACCTTTTAATTTCAGTACTTTTTTTTCTATTAATTATACAAATACAAATAAAATTACAATTTGCAAACGTTTCGGTATTGGTATGCTCCTATTCTCACCGCATTTTGATAAAAAAGTCAATCTTGAGGTAAAAAATTTAAAAAAAAGTCTGTTACTCGCGTGCGATGATTTTTAATTTGAATAAAAAATCACCGCAAGTGAGTAACAGAAATTTTTTTAAAATTTTTTATCACAAATGACTTGTGGCGCCCCCCCCCACATAAAATCCTGTTGAAATCGGAGCAACTTCTAAGAATTTATTGATGCACATAGATTCCATTTTCGAATTTATACATTATTATCATCTACTTGCGAAATTTTAAGTTTCAGTGATGCTCAGTTTTCAGCTCAAAAAATGAAAGACGAGAGAAAATATGAGGCAACATCTGATGCAGTTAGACTGAATCCAGCTAAGCCCTTCCAAAATAGCGACGATTTTGCAAGTTGGCAACACTGTTTTTGCTCCATTTACATCCATTAAAAATATCGACTTTAACTGCTGCCTCACTCAAAATCGATTTAAATTAGTAGCTTCTAAGTTGGACCGCGTTAAGCAGAAAGGAACCAAGCCAAATCAGCTATTGCCAAATTTAATTTAATTTTTTACATGAAAACGGTTGTGCGGATTTTTATGCAGATTTCAGTGAAGTTTCTGCACAGCACAAATCAAATTGCTTCAAATTTTCAAAGAAATCCGTATAAACGCTCTCTTTTAAAAAATTAAAGTGCCCAGTTAAAGGCAATAGCTGATACGGCTTGGTTCCTTTCTGCTGAACGCCGTTCAAATTACCTGGTACGAAGTTTCACAAAAACTGATCGAACAGGAGCCGTATATCATCTTGCGATCAGTGGCACTCTACACAGAAGTAAACAATACCAGGCAATTTGCAAACATTAGTGCGCCTTCATTTTCGTCTGATACTGTGCAATACTTCTGTGGTGGAATAGTTGCTCAGAGCGCCTTCCACAGTACAGCTTCGACTTGTTGCGGCAGAAGATTACTTTCTGCTAAACGCGGTCCAAGGGTCAATGCAAACTCTGTGTTCTACTTTTTTCTCATGAAAAGTTGTATCTTCCCCCGTCTAAAAATAAAAACTCATTTTTCAGGAATGTAAGAGCATATATTACATTTTCTAAAATAATTTGTACAAAATGATGTTTCTTAAGGACTTTACGTATACTTTCAACAAAGTAAGCGTCTCCTAATTTCAGGTACGTATAAGGAGGAGGGTCCTCATTCTGAAAAAGGGAGATTGCGTCCGTGCATTATTGAACGGGTTTCTATAAAAATATTGCATACCATAAGCATTCATTTATCCAGGAGCAAGGAAAAATTGGAGCATTCATTCTATGGCTCACTGATTCACAGCACTTCACACCGTCAACCGAAGTGCGTATCTTAAGCTGGAGACAGCGAAAGTATTAGGTAAATAGTGTAGGTAGGAGATTTTTTCCGTACCAAAGGTGAGGGTACATTGATGAGTGAGTTTATTTCAGATCTACATTGATACATGTTTCGTATCTTTTGAATTGCAATTAACATGATGGTATAGTTTGATCGAAATTTTGAAAGTTTCCCTAATTTGCCTTTTTCACTTTTTAAATATAAAATTCATTTTTTTCACACATTTTCGTGAATTTTTTAATATTTTAAATTTTGTATAGTTAAATCGAAAGCAAGGGGATCGACAGCACGCTACTCGAATCGAGCAATGGTTAAACTCCTCCGCAAAACAACGTTATCATCTTTCCGAATACTACATTGCTGACTTTGAAGACGTTTTCTATCACAAAAATAATTTGTCTTTTCACACAGGAGCGTGGAAGTTGAGACTGTTCCACATATATTTTCATCCATATCGCATAAAAACCTAAACAATAGGAGTTTTCATGAGATGGATCCGGTTTTAAAATTGCTGGAACGGTCCTGATGGTAGCTGGAACTTATGAATCGCCCTTGTCTTTCTTTTCCGTCTGGTAACCGAAGGAGAAAAGTTCTGCAAAAAAAGAGAGATAAAAATTAAACTATGTTGCTTTTTTCATGTTCGTAAAAAATAAAAATCAGCTGTAAAAAATCACGCAGGGGAGGAGAGGGGGAGGGGGCATCGAGAGAACTGCGTGCTTGCTTAAGCCGTGTTTGCTCATGGTTTGTTCTGAACACGTTCTATCAATAATTTTATTGAATTCATGCGTCAACTCTCCTGTCGCAATTGGTAGACTTCAATAGGTGAAGGTAGTGGGGGCGGGGAACCACCGTTAATGATCAAACAAATCCCGTATGAAATAGGCCGAATCAACAGCGGGTACAACAGTTCCCATCACAGTGCAAGCTCGCTGATTCGAAGTTCTATAATTCGACGATCTCGTCAAATCATAAAAAGAGGGAAAATCATTCCCCGCGCGTGGGAAAATATCTAGGTTTTGAAGTAGTCAAGCGAAGACTATCATAATTTAACGCGAGACAAGATTTTTTAATGGTACCAGGCACACATTTTTGAATCAATATCCGTCGCTGCGCGATGCATGTTTCCTTGCATACCTCGTAAACTGAAGGCGATAAAATACCGTGCGTGACCTTAAGCGAATTTTCGCGTTCGAATATCATTCACCGTTGTATGATATGACGATTGTTCATTTTTTTTGAACGATATTCGACTTCTTCGTTGGTCTCACCGGAGACCGGTGAAATCCATCCACTTGAAATTTCGAATTCACCTCGGGACTTGAATTCGATTTTTGAATCGATACAATCGATGTCAGAAACTTCATCTTTCACCTGATTTTTTGTTTCGTCACTTCTTTTTGTTGTTGTGTTTTGTCAATTCAACTCTGCTGTGTTTGCAATTTGCTGCGTTTTAGTGTTTCGTATTTTTTTATTTTCTTCTTTAATTTCATTTAAAAAAAAAAAATCTGGATTCTGATTGTCTCCTGCTTTCACCGATCATTGGCATCACCGAGCATTTATCAATTCATTGGATGAATGATATTCGCTCGCGAAAATTCGCTTCTTTACTGCCTTCGTGTCTTCTTCTTCTTCTTCTACTAACGACTGTCGTCCAGGCAGTCTTTTCCCTATGGGTTGTATAGTCATACAAACTTTTGCCAGTCTCTCTTCATCCATTCTGTCAACGTGCTCCGACCACATCTCTCTCCTCATCCTAGTCCACTTGGCTACATCTTGCACATTACAAGCATCCCTGATGAACTCGTTGGTCTGATGATCCCAAAGTGTAAAGCCCGCTATTTTTCTTAAGACCTTTCGTGTCAATACTGATAACTCTAAATTTTCAGCCAGATAGCGCCACCGTGCATATGTTTTATTATTCGCTGTCCTTTTCCTACCGCAGAAACAGCATGTTCTCCACGACCGGAACCGTTTCTTCGATCATCCTCCTTAGTATCTCCGCGATCGCGCGCGATTATAACCCACTCTTCTTAACCCCATTGATCGACTCCGGAGACTCCGCGGGCGCGCAAAGAGACGCGACAGTCCGGACGATGCTTCCAGGGATCGAAAGTTTCTCCGGGTACATCACCGTCGACAAATTCCACGGGGCCCACCTATTCTTCTGGATGTTCAAGTCCACCGAGAGGAACTGGGAGGGGGCCCCGGTTATCATCTGGCTGCAGGGCGGCCCTGGCGGCACCTCGCTCTTCGGACTCTTCGAGGAGATCGGCCCCTTCTCCGTCAACTCCTCCCTGCACCTCACCAGGCGGGAATACTCGTGGTGCAAGAAGTACAACCTCCTCTTCATCGACAACCCCGTTGGCGCCGGGTTCAGCTTCACGACCCAGGAGGCCGGCTACGCCAAAACGGAGGAAGACGTGTCGAAAGACCTCTACAGCTTCATGCTCCAGTTCTACGGGATGTTCCCGAAGCTGGCCAAGAACCCGCTGTTCCTCATGGGGCAGTCGTATGCCGGGAAATTCATACCGTCGTTCGCGGAGTACATCTACAAGCGTAACGCGGAGAATATAATGGGTAATGTCAACATCCCTCTAGAGGCCATCGGTATTGGCAATGGCTTCATTGATCCGTACAACATGATGTTCTACGGAGACTATCTGTACCAGTTGGGCCTGATTGATCACCACGGCCGATCTCGTCTTCACAACCTCGAGGATGAAGCAAGGTTTGTTTTCTTTATTTAATTCATGATATCTGACATTTCAGTGCACTGAAAAAAAAACTCCGGCCGTGGAAGCCGTTCTTACGGTCTATATACTGCCGTGCTAAGGAAGAACGCCGTATGAGCCTTCAGACGTTGCCAAGTTTCCTCCGATAAAAACCGAAATCACCGGGAAAATTGTGAATATTATTCTCCAAAAATTTCAGATAATTCTGTATGCAATTTAATCTAAAATATCTGAAAATTTCAAGGAAAAACATGCATGAATGTTGTCAAAAATATGTGTTTTATGGAGGGAAATTTGGCAACTCTCGATGTACATACAGCGTTCTTCCTTAGCACGGCAGTATATATACGTACCGTCCGCGTTCCGGGCTTTTAGAGGTCAGAAGTTCTGGGCGTAGCATCCGGAGTAGTCGAAGCTACGGCTCCAGCACTCGGAACTTTCGGCCTCAGAGCCTGGAACGGACGGTATATCTATAGAGCCCGTAACTTTTTTCCCCGTGTGTGTGAATGGTTAGCATTGAGCCGCACAAGACTATTGGTCAATTTTCAAAATGAAACTCTGCAAAATATTTCATAAAATAGAGGAAACATATTTTTGAAGAGTCTTTTGCCTCTCTTTTAATTACGGTAAGATTTTTACGGTAGTAATTTGAATGTCAGGTCATGGAGTTTTAAGGGCCTGAAAAGGAGTAATCCAACCTATAAACTCAAATTACCCAGAATTATTTATGCTTCCTAAAGTTACGACCCGTTGTTTGGAAAGCAAGAATTTGACCTAGTTTTAACATAAACTTATTCATTTTTGCGAGAGGACGCTCCATTATGTATATTTTGGGGAATCTTTGGTTTAAAATTTGAATCTGAAGATTAGTAGCAGCACGGAAAAAAAAGAATTGCTGATTCAGCAATTCAATTGCTAAAAACAGTGAGTGCAATGTTTCAACGCAGATTTTACAACAAAAAAATGCTACTTTAACCACCCCCGTGGTTGAATTAGTTTACATGCTACTTTAACCATTCTCGTGGTTAAATGTAGTTAAAGTAGTATTTTTTTGTTGTAAAATCTGCGTTGAACATTGCACTCACTGTTTTTAGCAATTGAATTGCTGAATCAGCAATTCTTTTTTTTCCGTGAGCATTTTCTTAGTGTTTCTCGTATTAAAAGGTTGCTGCCTTTTTTGGCCCTATAAGAGCTCCATAGTATTTCGAGAAGTCCGTACTCTTTCCATACTGGAACTCTAGACTGGATATGCATTACTTGTAACCTCGATCCATCCGAGCTTTTAGAATACCCATCTACGGAAGAGTATTGCCATCTCTGTGCCGCTCTCTGATTCACTGAAAAAAATGGTATGCTGTTTTAGCACCTAGGATGTAAGAAATGTGTCTGGTTATCCTAAGACGCTGCCTTGACTGCCCACGCAGTTGACTTTGCATTCATAGGATGTAAAGTTAACTGCGAGCAGTGGCGTGGCGTGCTTTGCGATCCATCGATATTTCCCTATTTGAATCTGTGGTAAATAAGCGATTATTAAGGTGTCCGCTGCGAACACCCTGTTTATCGATACTCTTCCATAGGTTGAAATGGCCGATCAATCGATATATCGCAAAGCACACCACGCCACTGACTGCGAGGGCAGTAAAGGCAGCGTCTTGCGATCACCAGACACATTTTTGACATCCTAAGTGCTAAAATAGCATATTATTTTTTTCAGTGCATGGTTCATCAGTTTTAAGCCATCATGGAGCGCCGAAGTTGGCCCAATGTAAACAAACCGGACCCAGAGGAACACGTATTATTGGCTGAGAAATGAATGATAATCACACTCAAAACCTAAAATGCCAATAGTTATCATAGCATAAATTATACCCAACCCTCCAAATACTTCAAGTTTCCCAGCTTCACTACTAATTAGATGAGACACAATGCCAAAGCCTGGTAAAATGAGAACATAAACTTCTGGATAACCAAAAAACCAAAATAAGTGCTGATATAAAATAGGATCACCCCCTCCCAAGGGGTCATAAAAGGACCTCTTAAAATTTCGATCTATTACAAATATAATTTCTATTTTCCGGCAAAAATATCCATCAAAGTTCGATCCGAACTCAATTCAGAAGTTGCATATAAAAAAAATCTCTATCACATACGAAATCACGTCTAGAACTTTGTCGCCATCTTGTTTGTTTACATCGGGCCAAACTAGGAGCGCAGGGGCTGGGGTTTGTTTACGCTGGGCCAACTTTGGGGCTGCACGATAGCCGACCAATCAGAGAGCGGCGCACTTTTTCTGTAGTAAAAGGATTGAGATGGCGATACTCTCCTATATATGGGTACTCTACGAGCTTCCACACACGTTAATGGAGATTTTCCATGTGTGAAGAATTTGCGATTTGACTACTGATTCTTACGTAAAATTTCGCGAGAAACACGATGGTGTCACTGGTTTTCTCTGAAATCATCTCCCAAGCTCAATAAAAGCTCTCAAGTTGAGGCCAAAATGGAAGGGATATCCCATGCTATCCTGAGAGTCCACCTCTACATCAAAACAAACTCTCCATGCCAAGGTAGGGAGCAAATACATTGACAGGGATGCCGTGTTTTCAGTTTTAGAGTCTCCAAATAAAGTGACAGCCCTTGAGCCCTGTCAATGCATTTGCTCCCTGTCTTTGCATGGAGAGTTTGTATTGATGTAGACGTGGACTCTCAGGATAGCGTGGGATATCCCCTCCATTTTGGCCTCAACTTGAGAGCTTTTTTTGAGCTTGGGAGATGGTTTCAGAGAAAACCAGTGGCACCATTGTGTTTTTCGCGAACTTTTACAGAAGAATCATCAGTCAAATCGCAAATTCCTCACACATGCAACATAACTATTTACAATTTGTTTCTCTCTCTTTTCTCCCTCGCCGCAGGAACCTCATCAAAACGGAACGCTATGCCGAGGCCGAGAGGGTCTGGGTCGACATTCTCCACTACGCAAAGAAATGGGCCAGGCTGAAAACCGTCTACAACTACATCAACGACACGGTCATAATAGAAGAGGCACCATGGGTAAATTTCCTCAAAAACCCCGTGACGAAGCAAGCGCTTCACGTGGGCGACCAACCGTTCTACGTGATCAACGCCGTGGCTCACAAGAAAATGATGAACGACATCATGAAATCGGCAAAGCCAACGGTCGAAGCCCTCCTCAATTGGGGAGCCTACGACGTTGTGGTCTACTCCGGGCAACTGGACATCCTTTGCGCCTATCCGCTGACTTTGAACGTCTTCCAGAAGCTCAACTGGAAGGGCGCGGAAGCCTACAGGAAGGCCGAGAGGTGCTTCCTCGAGATGGACGGGACTGTGGTCGGGTACACCAAGTCGGTCGGGGTCTTCACGGAAGTTTTGTTCCGTGGCTGCGGACACATGGTCCCCACCGACTGCCCGAGGGTGGCGTCTAGGTTCCTGGACTTGTTTATCACCGACAGGAAGAAGATGAGGTGTATGAGGGAGGCCGGTGAAGCGTCGCACAGTGGATCGAGTCAGTCAGGGAGGTCGGACACGATAAATTTAGCTAAAAGTGAAAATTTTGATATTTAATTCTTCACATTTCGAATTTTAAGGGGTGACTCTGAAAGAAAGTTTCGCGAGAAAACCCATGGAACCACTTTTATAATCTCAAAGTTTTATACACGTGGAGTTATAAGCTTTTAAAGTTTCCAAATTTTGTCCGACCCCTCCTATTGACTCAATCCACTGTGCGCCGCGGTGAAAACGGACGGTGATTTGAAAGGGTCACGAGAGCGAAAAAAGTGATGTATCGTGATGATAGTAACTTAAAAATCACGATTAGCACTTCAGGAATCACACTCCTTAGTTCAAGATCTGCGAAGGAATAATTTGCGCAACCTAAGAAATATGAAGAACTAAAAGTGAAAATTTTGATATTTATTTCTTCACATTTCAAATTTTAAGGGGTGTCTCTAAAAGAAAATTTCGCGAGAAAACCGATGGAACCACTTTTAAAACCTCAAAGTTTTTTATGAACGGAGTTATAAGCTTTTAAAGTCCCCTTTTGTCCGACCTCTCCCATTGGATCGATCCTCTGTGTTTCGAGAACAAAACATGTGGAGTCACCGCACGATGAAACGAGTTAATGAGAGAGGTAGGACATACATTGTTTTTACTAAAACTGCACATTTTGATATTTAATTCGTCACATTTTAAATTTTAAGGGGTGCTTCTGGAAGGAAATTTTATGAGAAAACCAACGAAACCACTTTTAAAACCTCAAAGTGTTGTATGAACAAAGTTATAAGCTTTTAAAGTTTCAACATTTTGTCTAACTTCCCCCATTGACTCGTTCAGCTTGCTGACTTCACCGGTAGGGAGACAACAAGACAATACGTCATTTGTTGGTTATAATCAGTAGGGCTATCGGGTGCAAGTTTAGTCATTAATTTTATGGGTGATGACTGGACGACAGCCGGAAAAGTTACAGCTTTGGTCGAAAAATGAACAAATCCAGCCAACACAAATGACCCGATGGAAAAAGTATATGAATCTGGAAAAATGAATTAAAAACGAGTTGCGGGGTTTAAGGCGCATGTGACAATACCTGGAAAACATTTTCGTTCAAAATTTTCCTGATTTTTGTGCGTAAGCGGTAGAAGAGCAGTGAAATTTTCAGTTAGAAACGTCCGACAGTTTTTTTTTTTCTCGGTAAAAATAAAATTTTTAAATGACAATATTGTTCTACGTTGAAACATTTGGTTGCGTTCTTTCGTTCGAGAATGTCGACGAATAAAAGTCATTAAATTACATCATGATCCGGCAATTTTTAGCAAGTTACACAACACAGTTTAGCAAAGTTTCGAATAGTTTCAAGACGGGTGGGTAAAATAACTGATGTTTAGTTACCTTTCAGCCTGGATTCATTCTCAAAAATGTATTGCTGCAACTGCTCAGGATCTAATTCTGGACCCACTCCGCCATATTCGGGGGGCAAAACCATAGGATCGACAAATTTGTGAAGTTCTTTCATACTACTTTTGTGAAAATGGATCTGGAGGAAAAGATAATAGAATGTGTAAACATCAACGAATCCAAATTGCATTTAAAATGTAATAATTTGAACTATACACAAATATTTAAAGAAATGCGGGTCCAAACTCACGAGGTAAAAATAGACTTAGCTTCACGATTATTCATAGTTTCAACTCTTATTAATTCTAAAGCTCAGTGATATTTCTAATTTGTTCACAGAAAAATAATGTCATTATATTTTTTTCTAAGTTCTCATGACGACTTTTCTTCTCTGATGAGAAAATAATTTGAGAGGATTCAAATGTAATTACGCCACGATCCTTATATCTATAAAAAAGAGGGGGTAAACTCTTTGTTTTTTAATTTTTTTTACACGTGTTAATCATGAAACTGTAAAAATACTGTCTCAATCAATGTTGAAACTTTTCGTCACACTATTATTTTTAAATAAAAAATCAAGCTATGTTCCTTCTTATACATTTTTTCATATTTTTGTTTGTTTGTATGAAGAATATTCCATGATTTGAAGCAACAGAGTTCGCTCTCTCAATTATTATATATAAAAATTGAAACGATCAGAAATTTTGGAACTCCGAATCAAAATGTGCAAGATCATTTATCTGTGGCTTCATCGATACTTTGTCAATGGACTTCCATCGCCGAAGCCCAAAATTGCGAATCTTATTTATCATTCAAGATTATTAAAGAACCCTACAAATCATGATCATATTTCAATAATATAATCGCACCGCAGCTGTATTCTCAGCATGCGGAAAGACATACATATGTTACAACTCCTTGATGCAACTATTCGAGCTCAGGGGACGCCCAGGTTGCATAGATAACTAATTGAAGGCGCTTTGGATTATCGCCGTACCACAGGCGACGATGCGCTGCGCGCGCCGTCCCAAAGTGCTTCCTTTCTTCCGGGCGCCTTGCCCACGCAGGCTTAAATCAAAGATAAATATAATTTATGATTTGTAACTCCGATCGATAAGTGCCAGACCTTTTGACATTAAATTTTGTAATCTGGATGAACTGAGAAAAATTTATGAAAGAATCCCACACCGTATAGTATCCACCCTTCATATAGGAAGATAAAAATGTCGTTCGTTTCGCAAGGAATGATAGTCATCTACTTATATGTGATTCGACTCATCCCCCTCCCCTTAGTATTAAAAATCGAACGGCAACAGTATAACTGATATTGTGAGTGACGTCATGGAAGCGTCAATGATGACCTCATACAGGGTCGTTGACCTCGATGTTCTTGACCTTTCGGGTCTGTGGCCGTCAGGGTCAGCCATGACGTGCACACGCCGATTAAAATTGGCAGTTAGCGACGCACTATATATTGCGTAAACTTTCTAATTAATTGTTAAAACTTGAGAAAATGCGTTCAGAGCCGCGTGTACTTACACATTTCTTACTCTCTGCACTAAGGAAAGGGAACACAAAACTGACGATAGCATTGATAAACATTCCGTAATTGATTAGGTGATATTCCATATGCCTGAGTGGGACCATCTGAAAGAGAAACAGAAATCAGGTTGGGTTGGAATGCGTCACGAAAGCACGTTGAAAATACGTCGGCGACGCAAACGGGAGAAATTAGGTCGAGAAAATATTTTAGACGCAACTTGGATGTTCAAGCTTTTTATTGGACGGAAGGCTCATGCTGTTTGAAGATTGTGAAACCTGAAGATGTGAGAAAAATATGCAAAGTCTCATCAGAAAATAATCTTATTGACCAACGCGGCGTTATAAAACCACAAGGGGGATTTTTAAGAAAATTCCGAAGCCTTGATTGATTTTCGCAGTTATTCTTTTGTACATCAATATTTTGAGTCTTACACTATTTTAACATGCTAATATTTTGAATACCTAGATGAAAGTTCTCTCGATAATTTTGGATCCACACAAGATTGTTTAAATGATATTTAGCAGACGGACAATTCGGTTCTCTCAGCAGCAAATACAGCAATGATCAAGAAATTTTTTTCTCTCTCTTTTCAAAATTTTTCTACATGTATGCCAGTGCCCTTGCCTCTTTTGGTATAAAATTCGCTTACCTCCGCTTTCTTCGTGCCTACAGTGACGACGTCTTTTGTTATGTATTTCATAATTTTCCAAGACGTATTTTTGAAGTCAAGTATAAATGCCATTCCGTTCTTCTGCGTCTCTGGTTCATCCAAAGCACCCTCTAGCCATAAATCGTCTATTTGTGACAAACAGTTAGGTGGCATTTCGTCTACAGCTATATTTCCTGCAAACGTCAAATGGAGATCTCTGTTTAATATTCCCGATTTTTAATAGCAGTCCCAGATATATTTTTCAAAATAAAGAGGGTTTTAGCTCGATAATTTTGATCGTATGCTGTGGATCAGTCTCGCATGTCAGCAGAGGATTGGTTTTTGGTATTTCAGTGCTTTGAGGAGCAAAAAGTGACATAATCATCCTAAAAAGTGCGAGCTTTCAAGTCAAAAGGCAAGCTTTAGTAACAAATTATATGACAATAACAATAAGCCAAAATTTCAACTCGAAATTTTTCAGCACAGGCCACTGAGTTCATTTCACTTAAGAATGGGAAATATTCACATTAGAGTTTCAATCCTCTATAATGTTTCATTACTTCTGAGCCAATTTCAGTAATCAAAATAAAGGAAGTTATTCCAGATATTTTCCACTCCTCACTAAGTGGCAATTTTTGCAAGTTGGAAACACTGTTTTCTTCATTTAAATGTATGTTAAACAATCGATTCTAGGCGAGACAGGCTGCTTCACCTATTATCGATATATTAAATTGATTTAAATGGAATAATACCAGTGTTGCTAACTTGCTGCAAAAGCCACTGTCCTCACTCCTTCCTATCTCTCTTTGTCTGTATTTTTCGAAAATTCAGCGAATCCCTTTATCTCGGGGGAATTCAAAACGACCTCATAAATACTTTTGACTACTTTATCACGAGTATCTTGCTAGGTTTTCTAATCTTTCCAAAATATTACTTCTCTGTTTAAAGATACTTGTGTTTGGTTATTCTTAAAAAGGAAACATCACATGATGATGAAAGTACCTGATAGTACATAAATTAACAATTTTTTTCAAAATAGAAACCAAGCTTACCGAGTTTAACCAGGTACACTTTCCTCCCTTTCGAGTCTCTACTGGACAATAGATGATGGACGTGCTTGTCTAAGAGCCAGCTATACTCCTTTAGCGGCCTACCATCTGGATACCAGTTGGGATTGTTTGCTTTTAAAGTATATACAGATTTCATCTGGAACGAAAAATTATGCATGATTAGTCTCGAATCTTCCTCTTCAATGATTGATTGCTTTTGTTGTACGGTCAATAAATTGAACTAGACATGCAGTCTCCGAGAGACGGCATTGGAGGTGCAAAAAAACACGTTCCTAAGACCGTAACCCTCCGACTCTGAGTATCAGCGGGAAAGAGAAAACGAAATCTGTTTGTTCACGTAAGACGTAAGGTCACAACCCCTCGTGGGTTTAAGATAATGAAATAAAAACCAACCAACAGCAGCAGTGATTATTGAATTTACTGTTGAAAAACTTTAAAACTGTCAGAGATAAGATGTTTTGAAAGAGGTCTTAAAATTTGAGACAGAAATCCTCGTATTTTCATTTGTAAGTCAAAATGTTCTCATTGTTTTAGCTACTTTTTATGGCTGATAAATTTTTAAATGTTCAAATCAATGTCCTTAATTTTCTTCTCAGTTTTCTTCCGAGATACGGCAGCTGTTTTTGGGTCTTTGCGTATTTAGGTTTGTATTTCTGGAGTCTACTGGTTTTCTCTAAATGAGAAATTACTTTTTAAAACTTTTTATGGCTGTATTAGTTGCCTTAAAAGAGTGCCTTCATACTTTTTTTTTGTTCAGATTTGTTGAAAAATCTCTCAAAAACCAAAAATTTTTCTAAAAATTGTTTCTGGCTTATCTCTTGATCAAAGTCTGATTTCTCTAAAACACTCTAAAAATTCCCGTGAATATGTTTTTTTTAAAAGTTTTCAACGCTCAGCATTAAAACTGTCAGATTGATTCAAAAGCATTTGATAGCGAAGCAAATAATTGGTACTTACTCTATAAAAAGCTTTGTCTGGGTTGAAATTTGTGCACCTTAGATACCTCATTAAAACTCTGTCATCTTCGCCAATGTATAAATTGCTTTCGTCTAAACAGAGGAGAGAAACATAGGCATTATATTTTGAATAGATAGATGAAACTTTAATGTATACGAGTGTAGGTTATATGATTTATTGATACACACAATAAAGGGAGGCACTGAGTGTTAAAGATCAAAAGCAAACACTCCAGTATGGCGGCGTAAATGATTGATTATTGCTTTTTCTCCATTTGAAGCTATGTTAAAGAATCAATTATTACAGTAGTCACTTCGATCACTGTTTTTCAATCCTTTCCCATAGGTTTAAATGAGAGATAAATTGGATTGCATTTTGCAAAAAGGAACCACTAGCATTGCAATGTTGCTAAGATTGTGCAACTTCTTTTATCTTGGAGGAAAACCCCGATTATCCATTAATAGTTTCTATTTAACTCGCTAAAAACTGTAAATTTAAGACAAAAATTACCATCTAAATTTCATAGTTTTTCACGATTTCCGCAATTTCATTGCAAAAGATGAAGTTGCACAATCTTAGCATCATTGCAATGCTAGTGGTTCCTTTTTGCAAAATGCAATCCAATTGATATTTCGCAAAGCGCGTCATGTCACTGAAACGCACTCATATCCTTTTAGTGTAGTAATATTAAAAAGTTCCTGTTTTCAATTCATAATTCGTTCACAATATCAAAGGCATTGTTTTATCAAACAAAATAATATGTTAATGGTGCGATCCTACATTAAAACCGCGCACTAAACTAATGTTAAATATTTTGTTTCAAGGGATTAAGTGATGATGAAGGAAGGTAAGTTTTTTTTTCATTCTTTCATTTCGTTTCGGGATTTTTTTTTTCAGCTCGCACACATGAACCCTTCAGGAGGTAAAAAAAAAGCAAAAACAGAAACGCTCTATACAAATACATCTGACCTTGCTCTAAAATAACAGAGACACGGCCGTATCAAACAAATATTATTTTTCTGGATGCCGTGGAAAATGCGACCATACTTATTCTAATCGCAGATAATGTAACAATGTCAACAGGTGACGCGCCTAAAATACTGCGAGATACTACACGAGGTGCACAGTTACACCGTTGAAAATAAGTCTCCCCTGAACACAGCATTTTGTTTCTTCGGCGCCTTCATTCTAAGATACAAAGATTTTGTTGACAAAAATACAATCATGTTTAGTTAAGAGTTAACACAATATTGTATCTGGCTAACACGCCGTTGTGTTCTACTTAGCCTTCCTAGCAACAACTCAGGGAGCTCAAATCCAACGGTGTGTTGCTTGTAACACAACGTTCTGTTTCTTATTATAAAACGTTGTATTGCCTAGAATATAAATCACACTATTCTTTTCCTGGAACAAAAGGTTCAAATAAGCGCAACGCTGTTTTATCTTTTTTTTTTTTTTTTTTTTTTTTTTAAGAAGTGCAGTTTTCCCAATATGCAGAATGCAGAATGAGAAATTGGTATAAGTGCTTTGGAATTGTACCCTCATATTTGAAACCCCATATTTGCTCTATTTAAACAGGTCACGTTCAATGTGAGGGAAAAAGAAACGGAATCTAAAATGTTTTATCTTAAAAAAAGGTGCAAATTTAATACTTTTTCGTGTTTCAAAACCATGTTTAAGTTTTTCAACCGGCTTCAACCGACTTTTAATTTACATCACAATAAACGACGTCTCAAGTACACATGGGTTACGTGTATAAGTTAAGTGTACAATTAATATTTTGCTCAGCGAAGACAATTCATTTTTCAGGCCGTACGCCTATCTCATTCTACACTAACGTCAAATAATATATTTGGTATCTCGAATGAATTATCACAAAACTGTGCGTCAGCTGGTAGCTGGAAAGATCAGTGTCTAAATTGTTTTCCGCCAGCAAAGTTTATGAAAAACTGCTGATGGCTATCTGAGCGCTTGACGTGTTGAGATTGACGTACACTTTCAGAGGAAAAAATCCTATCACATGCATTTGTACAACGCTTGCATTTTCATGAACTATTGACGTAAGTGAAGAATATGATGAAAAAATTAATTAAGTCTGACGAATTGTTTGGATGCAAGGTCAGATGAGATTCAATTATTAAAATGAGAAAAAAAATTAAGTTTTGACTGTTGTGACAACAATGTGGGAGTCCTCGTTTGTTATTTGGAGGAAGCTATCGGTCAAGATTAGAAAGACAGGGCAAGTTACGGAGGGGTCCTCAACTTAAAGTACGAACCGAGTTTTGCGTTGCTCAATGAAAGGCATTGCAATTTTGACCAATAGTTTAAAAAATACGTGCAAAAATACAGGAATATCTTCTTGCATTTTTTTCTACGGAATCAACTGTCCCTGACATGTTTAAAATAAAAATTGAGTGGCGCTCCTTAAAGGCGGGGCGGAGGTCTGCGATTCATGTAGGTTAGCGGGCGAAAAAGGGTGTTGACCTATATGATATAATAAGGTTCTTCATTTATTACGGGCACTGATAATGGTCTCCTTATCTCTAAACTCATCTTCACGCTAGGCGAAATTTTTTCTTTCATGCACCTACTTTTGCTTAGCCTCTGCTTTTTTTTCACCCATGAATCAGGTAAGGGTAAGATAGGAAGTAAGGGCTACGTAATTCACGAAAAATGAGAAACGGGCGGGGTGAAAAGAGAACTTGATGGAACCTCACATGTATATAAAGTGCATTTTTGCAAGCATCTAACTTTGTGAACGTTCACATACTTTAAATTGAATAAGTGATGCCTACTCTCGTGTCAGTATCAAGCCTGGAAGAAAATGAGAAGGAATGATTTGGTCTTCGATAAGAGGGTTGGGCAAATTCAAACTTTATAAAAGAATCTGCTTAGAAAATGTAATGACTGGGAGGAGGGGGGCTTGAGGATGATAAACTTTAAATGTAACTCGGCTGCTAACTTATCCAGTAGTAAAAAGTTTTCTTCACATTCTGTAACCCTTCATCGTAAACTTTGAGTTCAACGAACTCAGCCGATAAACTTAGGTAGACACGGGACACGTTCCATGTATTTTACATGCTCTTGTTCATCTGACACGTAGTAATTGTAAATAAATACCAAAACAATTCTCGGTAGATGTCAAAGACTGACTGAAAACTTTTATTAACCTCTTATGAGAAAATATACATTTTATCAGCTGACACTGACATTGTTGTCAGATAAACATTCTCAATGTCAATCAGTAAGTGCAAACTATCTTAAAAGAACTGACATTTTTAGAAGGCTGTTGATTTAAATGGGCCAAAATTTATCGAGGAGGAGGGAAATTGTGTGTACCTTTAGTTGGTAGGTTGGAAGAATCATTCCGTTACAAAACGCCTGCAATTTTGCGTGTGGGCAATTTACCCTGCAGTGAAGCATGAATAGTTGCTCTTTAAGAATACCTTTTGATTCACCGGTCTTATAAAGCTCTGATATTGAATCATTCAGTGAATTGTCGTCAGCATTGTACTCTCAATATCAATCATTAAGAGCAAATTGTCTCAAAAGGCATCCATAGATGATCAAAGTCTAAGCCAAATTCGATCCTAACAGACTGTCAGTCACCAAGCAACATTCATCTGTGAAAATTGGACTAGCCTTCCAATTTCGATCTGAATAGAGTGTCGCAATTCATAATATTTTCCGCTTGGTAAATTTCTGCCAAATTGCCTACACGCACAATTGCAGGCGTTTTGTAGCGGGATGATTCCCTCAGACTATCCACTAGGACATACCCGTTGACACACTTTCTCTCCTCCCCGATGACTTTCGGCCCATTTAAATCAACAGCCTCCTAAAAATGCCAGTTTCTTTAAGATAGTTTGCACCTACTGATTGAGCCAGATTCAAGAGCCACCTATTCCAACCAATACACGGAGCAAAAAACCACGTGCGTGGGACCCGAAGTTTAGGTCATATGGATCTCTGAAGTTTTCGGATTGAGCATCTGAACACTTTAGGTCTAGCTGTCGAGGTTCGGATCACACATCTGGAACTTCAGTTCAAACATCTGAAGTACTTCAGATGTGAGAACCGAAGTTTTTCGGATGTGAAAACCGAAGTACTTCAGATGTAAGAACTGAAGTTTCAGATGTGCGATCCAAACCTCAGCAGCCGGACCTAAAGTGTTCAGATGCTCAATCCGAAAACTTCAGAGACCCATATGACCTAAACTTCGGGTCCCA